ACACATCACCATAATAAAAGGTTTGGTTCACAAGGTGGAGCTACTGTCGGGTGGCACAAACCTTTAAGAGCTCAGGCATTCATATAGACGGAAGGACCCTAGTTTCTCCTTGTGCCTTCTGATGGAGATAAAACTGCTTGCTCCCACATGGGGCCTTGCCACAAAGGGGTCACTATACTTAACCATTACTAGAGGCTAAATCCATGGTACACTACCTATTCTTGGACTTTGATGACCCAAAATTGCAGGTTACATAAACTACCTTTATAAAATTCATTTGTGCCAAATACTTCATTAGTGGCAAAAAGCTAATACAGCATACATTATAAAATATATTTAAACTCTTTTTTAAAAAATTTTTTGTGGGCTTGCTGATGTCGTTTGTTCCTTTTTTATTATTATTTTTTTGAGACAGGGCCTATCCTGTAGCCTTAAATAGCCTGAAACTCACTATGTGCACAAGGATGGCCTTAAGCAGCAATCCTCCAGCCTTTGTGTCTTAAGTTCTGTTTTTGTTGCTCTAATACCTTGACAGAGGCAGCTTAGGGGAGAAAGGTTTTCCTTTTATCTTACCCTTCCAAGTCACAGTCCCTCAAAGCAGGAAAGTCACAGCAGCAAGGGCCAGAAACAGCTAGTCACAGCACATCTACGGTCATGAGCAGAAGAGTGAATTAATGTGTGCATTACTGAGTTTGGAGGTAGGTGCCTTCCACCTTCAAACTGGGTCTTCTCCTATCAATACACCTAATCACAAAAACTCCTCCCAGACAGGCCCAGAGACCAGCCTAATGTGGACCATCCCTCATTGTAACTCCCTTTCCAAGTGGTCCTAGTAGAAATCAACCTTATTGAATGACAATTAGAGCTTTCTGGGCGACAAATGCAGCATGAGAAGGAAAGCATAGTGAATGAAATGATTGCTCACTTAGGTAAATACTGGGACAGAGAGTGAAGAGCAGAAGAACCAAGAGTCAGACACTGGAGGGCCTGCAAGACCAAGGTAAGATTTACAAAAACCTCCTGATGTCTCATCATGTGAGTATCGAAGTATACTCACACAAATCTAGATGGCAAAGCCTTTTGCTCCTACATGACAAGCCCATACAACATGACACTGATTGCCACAGGCAACTCTCAGTCAGGCGATATTTGTGTTTCCAAGCACTACCCAACAGGAAATTTTCAGCTCCTTTACAAGCTTATGGCCACTTCATGCCTAGGTCTCTGCGGATAGATACATGATTTGTAGTCAGTGACTAAAGAACCACGCATGGTACGTTTTCTTTTCTGCAAACCTCCTGCTTCGGCCTCCCTAGTGGGGGGATACTAAGTGTGCACCTAGCTGAGGGTAGCGTGAATTACTTGAGCTGTAGGGTACTCTAAAGACTGTTTTCTATGGACTGTCCCAAGTGAGGAATGCACAGAACCCTTCAAATGTTTTCTAACTCCTTCCTTGAAACAGTTCCCTGGTCTCCATTTCCTGCTTTTAGCCATCTCTCAACTACTCTCAATCCCTCATCACATCCCCCAGCAGCATCCGATCTCTTCACAAAGCCACTATTTTATGTGAGTACTATCGTGTGTGTGTGTGTGTGTGTGTGTGTGTGTGTGTGTGTGTGTGTGTAGCACTCACCTTCTCTAAGGCTGGCCCTGTCCCTTGCAAAGTACCTCTGCTTTCCCTGTGCCACTCACCAATTAAATCCCATGCCCCTTTAGAAATGCAGACATGGTCTGCTCAACCATGACTGCTTTGTCCAGTCCTGCCTTCCCTAACCCCCCTCTCTGGAGGCCCTGGGCTTCACACATAAGTCCTGCACTTTAATGTCTCACTGGAATCCATCTTGCTTTCTTCTTGCACTAGGCAGTGCACACCTGGGTAGGAAATACAGTCTTTCACTTCTGGATTGCCCACAGCACCCAGTAACAAGAGAAAAGCACTAGTTAGCTCACTATTCCTCCTGACCTTAGGAATGTACAAATACCTTCCACCTTCCATCTCCTGTCTAAGAATTTATCCAAGTGATACATCTGCATGAATTTTCAGAAACGTTGTTATCAAGGTACCTATTGTACCATACAAACTACAAATAATATGACCCTTAAGAAAAGACCAATTTAAGCCGGGCACACCTGTAATCCCAGCACTCGGGAGGCAGAGGCAGGCGGATCTCTGTGAGTTCGAGGCCAGGCTGGACCAACAGCCTCCAAAACAATACAGAGAAACCCTGTCTTGTAAAAACCAAAAAAAAAAAAAAAAAAAAAAAAGAAGAAGAAACGACCAATTTAAATGTATATTGCAAATAATAGAAACACAAAATGCGGTCTGGGTCTGGAGATTTAGCTCAGTTAGTAGGGTACTTTCCTAACATGCAAAGCCCTAGACTGGATCCCCAATGCCACACAGGATCAGGTGGGGCTCCATAAGCATCTGTAATCTCCACAGGAAGAGCTAAGAGGACCCCAGGCTAGGATGCTGTCTCTGGAATATAAATGACAAAAGGAAGAGTGGGAGGGAAGGAGGGAGGGAGGGAGGGAAAGGAGAGAGAAATGACTTAGGATATTTCTCTATATGATCCACAACAAAGAAGTCAGTGAAAAATTGGCAGAGAGAAGGTATAAAGCTATTTTCTAAGTTTAGTTACTGAAGCATTCAAACCCACAGTTCAGAAGAACACATCAAGTTATTTGCTTTTAACAGCGAGGATAGAGCACAGGCCACATACATGCAGAGCACATGCTTTCCTCGTAAGCTGAGTCTCCAATTACCACGTGACTTTTGAGAATGGTCATCTCTGCTAAGTAGAATGGGCTGTTCACTTAGGAATATTTCCATTTTGTTCACAAAGAAAATAAACAGGAAGTTCATGTGACATTTGAAGTATTTATATATGTATATATATTACATATAATATATATATCTAAACTCAGTGTTCTAAGATAGGCATCTGTAAAATAATTTATAATATATACCCATTTTGTTTGAAATGAGTAGTAACAGCTATTTCCAGAAGACTACCGTAAAATATTAGCAGTTTAAAAAAGGCTTTATTTGCTTGATTAAAAAAAATCCCTTCAATAAAAAATAAACTCCAACACTACTTTTTTTTTTTTTCGTTTTTTGAGACAGGGTTTCTCTGTATTGCTTTGGAGGCTGTCCTAGAACTCGCTCTATAGACCAGGCTGGCCTCGAACTCAGAGATCCGCCTGCCTCTGCCTCCCAAGTGCTGGGATTAAAGGCGTGTGCCACCAATGCCCAGCACTCCAATACTTCTTAAATTACTATAAAGAACTAGGCACTGCACTGGTCTCATAGCAACTACTCAGTTTTACTACACCTAATGTCAACAGAATCATGCCTGGAACCTTGTTTCATGGCCAAGGCTAGAAATGAGACAGGAATCTGCAGAGGAAGAAATTCTGAGAACCACCACAGGAGCACTGGTGCATGTTCACAAGACTCCTGCATGTTCACAGTTTCAAGACTCACATAGCCCTATGTTTATTGCAAACCATCTCATCCCTAAAGGGGTACATGAGCACAACCAATGACTAAGACTAAGAAGTCAATGTCACCTACTGCTAGTACTGTAACCTTTGGATTTTTCCTACCAGCACGCCCAGGATACTGGTGATAAGCAAAAATCAAATTCAAACCTCAGAACAAGACCCCTGAATTCACGTGCTTGTAAAAACTAAAGGCCATTCCAAAAATGATGCTTTCTTCTGAAACTGATGGTTAACCCAAAATCCCACACAGTGCAAACACAATAAGCAGTAATCTGTAAATAGGGGCCGGGGAAGACAGTTCAGTCAGGAGAGCAGGGAGAGCTGAGTTCAACCTCAGAACCCACATACAAATACATGGCATAGTGATGGGCACTTAATGCTAGCTCTAGGGAGGTGGCCACAGGGGATCCTATCCATTGGCCGGCCAGCAAGCCTAGCCTAATCAATTATTTCCAGGCCAGTGAGTAGGGAAAACAAAGTGATCAGGGCCTGAAGGATGACACTCAAGGTTGACATCTGCACATGTGCCTACACACACACACACACACACACACACACACACACACACACACACACAGATAGGAAAACCAATTTGAAAATCAAATACATCTAGCCTCACAATTTACATTAGAAAGAATGCTACTAACACAACTCATTCAACACACGTGGAGGGCAATAATTTCAAAGTTTGAGAATTACAAATCCTTGAGGTTGGGAATTCAGTTTACTGATGAAAGTATTTGTCTAGTGTGCTCAAGGCTCTGGGATCGATCCCCAGCACACGCACACACGCACGCACGCGCACGCACGCACGCACAATTATAATTTAAATCCTTAGCGTTAAACCTTTCAGACTTTTAGATAACCGTTTGCTACTCTTGTACTAAGTTCAGGCTATTTTTCAGGTGACTAGAAATGTGTCCCTGACAGCAGGCAGTTCTCCCTGTCCCTCATGTTTTGGGTTTTTGTTTTTGTTTTTCCCCTGTAGTATGGAAGGTTGAGCTGCTGGGAGTTATGTGTTTGGCATCTCAGGCGTTTGTTAACTCTTGGAACATCGGGTCAGGAGGACACAAAACTCTGTCAACTCCTCCCTCGGCCCTCACAAAGGGTCTATGGGGCGAAGACTAATACTCAGTGTCCGCTTTCCACACAGGGGAACCAGAGGCCCGCGAGGGAGGCTGGGTGGCCTGCCCACGAGGCGGGAGAACCCGGGAGGCCGGGGTGGAGCAAGGGCAGCAGCAGCAGCACCTCCGGGAAGGGGATGATACAGTACCGGTGGGTAGCAGGGGCCGCAGCGGGGTAAAGGCACGCTCCATGGCGGGCTATGGGGTTTCTGCGCGGGAAGAAAAAAAAAAGAGGCTCCGAGTTAAGAAAACAAACCACAAAAAACTTCCCCCAAACCTCATTTCTGCAAAAGGAGTTGAGAGCGAGAGGCTCAGCTTGCACTTTGAACGCCCCGGGGCACTGCGGGGGGAAAAAGTCCCGGGGAGGAGGCAGCAGGCCCCGAGAGAGCTTTCCCGAGCCCGCTCCGCCGCGCGCGGGCTTCCATTCGGGCACTGGCGGCGAGGGGCGGCTTCCCTGTCTCCCTCCGTCCCTGTCTCCGTCCGTCCCTGCCTCCCTCCGTCCCTGTCTCCGTCCGTCCCTGCCTCCGTCCCTGTCTCCGTCCCTGTCTCCTCCGTCCCTGTCTCCGTCCCTGCCTCCGTCCCTGCCTCCGTCCCTGCCTCCGTCCCTGCCTCCGTCTCTCTCTCCCCAGCCCGCTCGCCCTCGCACCTTACACAACGGCGAGTGGAGCCACGAGCGACGGATTGGCCGCTCGGAACTCGGCGCTAGGCTGCGGGGCCTTAGGCGCGCACAGGTCGGTCGGATCGCGGGAGGAAGGGAAGAAGGAGGGGGAGGGGAAGAGTGAGGGCGAGGGGAAGGAGGCGGGGCCGCTCCTTCCGAGAGAGGCGGGGCGCCCGGGGCGGGGCTGTGGTCTGCGTTGAAGGTGCCTCGTGCTCCAGTGCTCGGTGCCCCACCCCTGGCGGGCTGGAGGAGATCCCTGTGCATCCTTCTCCCGCTGCCCTAACCCCTGTCCTCTGGGCCCACCTCCTTTTTCATTCCCCCTCTCCCCTGCATCCTGCGCCTCGTGGAAGCAGGAATCCGACGGGAAACCCGTTAGAATGAGTCGCCTGGTGGGAAGGCGGCTTCCTTCCCTCCAAAGTGAACCAAGCCAAAGGGACAGAGTGTCCCAGGTGGCCACTGCCACCACCTCACCCAGACCCGCTGGGAGGACACAGGACTTGTGCTGGCCCTC